TTAATTTTACCGCCTGCCAGAGGCGAAAAACACGGAGCTCGCGCGACGCGTGGCCGAGTGTAGACATGTGGTGTACTTACAGTAAAAACAGTCGCTAACTACCCACCAGGATTATAATGGCCTGTACCATGTGTAGACATGTGGTGTACTTACAGTAAAAGCAGTCGCTAACTACTTACCATGATTTACATGGCCTGTACCATATGTAGACATGTGGTGTACTTACAGTAAAAGCAGTCGCTAACTACCCACCATGATTATCATGGCCTGTACCATGTGTAGACATGTGGTATACTTACAGTAAAAGCAGTCACTAACTACCCACCAGGATTATCATGGCCTGTACCATGTGTAGACATGTGGTGTACTTACAGTAAAAGCAGTCACTAACTACCCACCAGGATTATAATGGCCTGTACCATGTGTAGACATGTGGTGTACTTACAGTAAAAACAGTCGCTAACTACCCACCAGGATTATCATGGCCTGTACCATGTGTAGACATGTGGTGTACTTACAGTAAAAGCAGTCACTAACTACCCACCAGGATTATAATGGCCTGTACCATGTGTAGACATGTGGTGTACTTACAGTAAAAACAGTCGCTAACTACCCACCAGGATTATAATGGCCTGTACCATGTGTAGACATGTGGTATACTTACAGTGGTGAGTTCCCAGAAAAGGTTAACTTTGGTAGCCGGCGCTGTACGTTGCCACCGCCGTACCTTCGAGGCGTTTTACACGTTTTAAAAATACAATTTCGGTGAAATACTTTGAATTTTACCAATTTAAATATATAAGTTTAAATTATAATTTTAAAAAATATTTAACAGTTAAAAAAATACATTTTTTCAAATAAAATATTGAACTAATTTTTCTAAAAACGAACATTATTTTTTGAATTAACTGAAACTAACCTAATTCAACTTATCTAAAACTAACCTAATTTAGAGATTAAACTAACCTAATATAACCTATCTGAATCTAATATATTTTAATTAATGAAACTAACCTTTTTATAACACACCTTAATCTAACCTAATTTATAACCAGTCTGAAACTGACCTATTTTACCTATTGGAATATAACATAACGTCATGTTATTAAAAATGTAGTAATATTTATTTTATAAAGTTTATTAATCACATATTATACAATATTTGTAAAATAAATATAAAACTTGTGTATAAATATATGACTTGAAAATATGCCACTTGAAAAATTTTAATCTAAACTATAATGAGATTTTTTTTTTATAGAGAGAAATAAAAAAATATATAATTGATTAGATACAAAAGTGTGAACCAGAAAGTCGATTTTTAAAAATGTTATTATTTAATATAAACTTATTTTAATTTAATTTTGAAATGAAAAGGTAGTGTAAAAGTGTATATGAGGTTAGATTCAAATAGGTTAAATTATGTTAGTTTAATCGCTAAATAAGGTTAGTTTTAGATAAGTTGAATTAGGTTAGTTTCAGATAATTAAAAAAAATAATGTTCGTTTTTAGAAAATAATTCTAAATAGTAAGTATATATATATATTAATATAAAAGATCGAAATGTAAAAATCACTACGTCCAAAATCTTCGCTTTAACTCGTGTAAAACGGCTCGAAGGTACGGCGGTGTCAACGTACAGCGCCGCCTACCAAAGTTAACCTTTTCTGGGAACTCACCACTTACAGTAAAAGCAGTCGCCTATAATCTAAATTGTGCATTATCATAGTTGATATTTATTCTGATAGATGGCGCAAGCAATCAGCAACTTTAGTTACACAATCAGAAAAAGCCTTTTTTCTTAATTTATCCACCTGATCAATGTACAATTTCACTACTGTTCTATTTTTCACTTCTGTCAATAGTTTTATTAAGGTGTTCACATAAACCAAACACAAGGTAATAAGACCAAATTCAAATAAATAAATAGTGTGTGACATTTCAGTAACAGCGTTGTTACCATCTTCAGACAAAAGTACTGAATGCAATTGTGCCTTATCATAAACCAAATGGTATACATGGTAGAAATACATTGTTGTTGTCATAATGGAATAAAAAAATACTAAAAACTTAAGAAATGAAGTATTTATTGATAAGTTTACATGCAATTAGTGTTGCATAGATTTGAAAAAAAAAATGTAAACATTAAAGAAAGCATATTGAAAACTAAGAATATTTTGTAATCATATTTTTGACCAAAAAATGTATTTACAATAAAAAAAATAATTATTGATGAGAAAATGTTTTTGTTATATATATTTTTTTATATTAATAAAAGAAAATAAATCATTTAAAATAAATGTAAAAAGAATGTATTTACTTTGGCTTTGTTTCTTGGTCTGTGACATTCCGTATGTAAATAGCATCTGGTGCAATTTCAGTGGTGTTCTTGTCTTCATACAAACAGGAAGAAGCAATGGCAAGTACAGAACCATCATTGCTGAAGCAAACTGAAGTAATATTGTTTGGATAATGGTGGAATTGACAAAGCCTTTTCTTATTGAATCCATCCCAAATATTGACAAAACCATCTGAACCTCCAGTTGCAAATGTATTATAAACATTATGGAAGCTGATTGAATTCACAGAATAAATAAGTTCAATTCCATTATTATCTTTAACTCTGTGACATTTAAATGCATATTTTTTCTTCTGTACTTCTGGACTTGGATCTAAATATTCTACTGCAACTCTTCCTTCAATTGAACTTAAAACATAGCCTTGTTTGTTTGGGAAACATTTGATACATCTCGTCTGGTATTTAAGACTTGATTCTCTTCTTTGTTGTACGTATCCCATATTCCTCAAGTCCCAAACAAGAACTTTACGACCTGCTGTTCCAACAACAAGTTGTTCTCCACAAACTGATATTGTGTAAACTTTGTCTGGTTGAGAAAATGTACCAGCAGAACATGGATTTCTAGGATCCCAAAGTTTCACAGTTTTATCCCAACTTCCAGTAATGATAACATTTGCATCTGCACTGTATTCAACACTTCTTATTGCATTTTCATGGCTGCCGACAACGGTTTCCTTATTCACGTTGAAATCATATACTTTAACTTGACCATCAAGACTTCCGCTCCAAGAATGTATGCTGTCTTGAAAGCAACAATCTAAAACTGGCCCAACATGGCCATATTTCATTCGAAGTGTATTGCTATTTAAATCATAAAGTCTTACATACGTATCCCATGATGAGGCTAAAAGAAACTGGCTTGAATTTGGACTAAAACGAAGTGAAGAAATAAGATCGTTAGGCGGGCTTTCGACTTTGATTTCACTCGTGCCTTCGGTTAAAGACATCTTAGTTGCCTTAAATTAATAAATCTGTCAAATAATAATTAATTTCGAAAGAAATAATATTAATTGAAATATTAGCAAAACAAACGATTTTATAAACAAATTTTTATGAACGAGTTCAAATTTACCGACACAGAGTAAATTGTTAAAAAAAAAAAAAGAAAAAGGGCACATATGAATTATTTTGAAATAAAAAAAAATTAATTGAAAAATATAGTATTGAAAAATCAATTTTTTTCATATTTAACCACTACTTTGCATTAGGATTTCGTAAATTTCTATTCGAAATGCATACCTACATTTAATAAATTGAATAATGACCTGGTGTAGTAAATTGTTGCGAAGAAATAATTTAATAGTTTGGGGTAGTTTTGTTAATAATTGTCGTCTTGTCGCGGTGACGTTATCATTAAATACTTTGACATCTTAAGATATACAAAGACCTGATTTCTACTCTACAATATTATCAAACTCTTTGCCTCACGATTTTGTTCTTCTTTTGATAATATAGATACATTTGCTTGGATTGTATAAAGCAACTAGATTCAATTATAAATTGGCGCCGTGGATCTCATTCTTGTATAATATATAAATGAGTTTTAAATATTGTAAAAAAAAAATGCATCGGCCGGGAATCGAACTGGGCGCCCGCGTGGCAGGCGAGCATTCTACCACTGAACCAAAAGCAAACGGTGACAGAATCAAGAACGCATGACGATGATAACTGTATATTATCCGTGACAGAGGCGGCCGATGAGGAAAGACGGTCGTGAACTATATATAGTAATAATCCAAACTGTACCTGATCATGGATGTGGTTTTGTTACCTTGTGTTTATAATCTATAATCCAAATTGTACCTTATCATGGATGTGGTCTTATTACCTTGTGTTTAAAATCTATAATCCAAACTGTACCTTATCATGGATGTGGTCTTGTTACCTTGTGTTTATAATCTATAATCCAAATTGTACCTTATCATGGATGTGGTCTTGTTACCTTGTGTTTATAATCTATAATTCAAATTGTGCCTTATCATGGATGTGGTCTTAATACCTTGTGTTTATAATCTATAATCCAAACTGTACCTTATCATGGATGTGGTCTTATTACCTTGTGTTTATAATCTATAATCCAAATTGTACCTTATCATGGATGTGGTCTTGTTACCTTGTGTTTATAATCTATAATTCAAATTGTGCCTTATCATGGATGTGGTCTTATTACCTTGTGTTTATAATATATAATTCAAACTGTACCTTATCATGGATGTGGTCTTATTACCTTGTGTTTATAATCTACAACGTAAAAAAATGCATCGGCCCGGGAATCATCAACCCGGGGCGCCCGCGTGGCAGGCGAGCATTCTACCACTGAACCAAAAGCAAACGGTGACAGAATTAAGAACGCATGACGATGATAACTGTATATTATCCGTGACAGAGGCCACGACAGACGGTCGTGACTATATATATTAATCATTAATATATACAGTTATCAGCGTCATGCACAATTCTTTCTTAATTCTGTCATCGTTTGCTTTTGGTTCAGTGGTAGAATGCTCGCCTGCAACGCAAGCGCCCCGGGTTCGATTCCCTGCCGATGCATTTTTTTTTTTACAATTTTTAAAACTAATTTATATTATTTAATATATACAGTTATCAGCGTCATGCACAATTCTTTCTCAATTCTGTCACCGTTTGGTTTTGGTTCAGTGGTAGAATGCTCGCCTGCCACGCGGGCGCCCGGGTTCGATTCATGGCCGATGCATTTTTTTTTTACAATTTTTAAAACTCATTTATATTATAAAACTAGCGGATGAACCCGGCTTCGCCCCGGTTTTACCCGAGTAAAGGTTTGTCTAACGAACATTTGTTAAAACAATTCTCTATAAACTTATTTTTAAAAATATATATATTTTGATAATTTGAAACTCGTAAATTTGAATCTCTCGATAAAGTGAACATTTTTTCCCGGTCCCTCGAAGAACACTCGATAAGTTGAACGAACATTTGTTAAAACAATTCTCCATAAACTTATATAAAAATATATATATATATTTTGATAATTTAAAACTCGTAAATAAATTTGAATCGCTCGATAAAGTGAATTTTTTTTCCCGGTCCCTGTGTGCCGTGTCATCCTGAATTTTGTCTTTCCTAATTTTATACATTACAAAAGCATCGTTTTATCTAGTGAACATTTCCCCCCCCCCCCCCCCGTCCCATGAAAAATAGTCGATGAGTTGAATAAATCAATATTAATTGGTTCCCTCGGTAATTGGAAGTTAAAGGAATAATATCGTTGCCTTGGAATTTTATCATTATTCTTGTCTCAAATAAATTGCCGTGTTTTCCAGAATTTTGTCTTTCCTATTATTATACATTACAAAATCATCGTTTTATCTAGTGAACTTTTTCCTCCGGTCCCTTGAAAAATACTCGATGAGTTGAATAAAATCAATATTAATTGGTTCCCTCGGTAATTGGAAGTTAAAGGAATAGTATCTTAGCCTTGGAATTGTATCATTATTCTTGTCTCAAATAAATTGCCGTGTCGATAAATGATAAAACTAACTTTGACTTGTGCGCAAAATTCCCACGCTCTACGGGCGGAGATCAGAGCTTGGTTAAGTGGATTCGTCAGTGTAGAGGACAAAACGTTCCGTCGGCGGTTTCATGTTCAAGTCTTTCGCCCAGTCTCTTGGGATTAACGGATTGTCTTCAAGCGAAGGGTGGCTCTCAAATCATAAAAAAAACAAAAACGACACGGGATATCATTTATTGTTGTCTAAAGGGGGTTAAGAGAGCAGTCTTTTTCAAATGAAAAATGCTTTAATTAAGCAGATGTTTAAAGTATAATATATGAAAGAGGCAATCTTACAGGTTGTTGACGCCGTAAAATCCCCAGAGAGTGTGTTTTTGTAGCATCATGCTGTGACTCACACGATGACCCAAGGTCATCAGGGGTGGAGCAGCAAACCTAAGCCTATCTCCGTCTCAATGGTGGCGCTGCTTGTGAGTTAAATATACAAATCTGCAAATAACTCTAAGGATATTCAAGATATTCAAGAAATTATTTTTCGAAAACCTTTCCGGGGATATACCTAATAATATCCCAAAATTTCACGGCGATTGGATGTATGGTTTTTGAATCTATAGAGTACACACACACACACAGACAGACAGACATTCATTTATATATATATATAGACTAGCGGATGTACCCGGCTTCGGGTTTTACCCAAGTAAAGGTTCGTCTAACGAACATTTGTTAAAACAATTCTCTATAAACTTATTAAAAAAATATATATATTTTGATAATTTGAAACTCGTAAATTTGAATCTCTCGATAAAGTTAACATTTTTTTCCCGGTCCCCTGTAAAATACTCGATAAGTTGAATAAAATCAATATTAATTGGTTCCCTCGGTAATTGGAAGTTAAAGGAATAGTATCTTCGCCTTGGAATTGTATCATTATTCTTGTCTCAAATAAATTGCCGTGTCATCCTGAGATAATCTTACTTTTGATAAATAATCTTTAAGATAATAAACTTAGTGATAATAAAACTTATAGATAAAAAAAAACTTGTTATCATCGTCGCAATGGTGGCGCTGCTTGCGAGTTAAATCTACAAATCTGCAAATAACTCTAAGGATATTCAAGATATTCAAGAAATTATTTTTGAAAAACCTTCCCGGGGATATACCTAATAATAACCCAAATTTTCACGGCGATTGGATGTATGGTTTTTGAATCTATAGAGTACACACAGACAGACATTCAATTATATATATATACTAGCGGATGTACCCGGCTTCGCCCGAGGTTTTACCCGAGTAAAGGTTTGTCTAACGAACATTTGTTAAAACAATTCTCTTTAAACTTATAAAAATATATATATATATTTTGATAATTTGAAACTCGTAAATTTGAATCTCTCGATAAAGTGAACATTTTTTCCCGGTTCCTGTGCCGTGTAATCCTGAATTTTGTCTTTCCTAATTTTCTACATTACAAAATCATCGTTTTATCTAGTACGCCTATAAAACCTTAAAAAAACTGAGTTCCTCTAATCAACAAAAGGGATTACCAATAATTGAACAGACACCGGTAGATTCTAAAGAAACTCTAATAAAAGATCTGATTAATGAACTAATTCCCGATGATACAACTATATCAGATACTGCTCACCATACATCAATAAGGAACCATACACCGAATTTTACAAACTCCAACTCATGCAATATTCATAAGAAAGAAATAGAAGAGCTAATCGACAAAATTAATGTAAATAAAGCTCCTGGTCCAGACAATATTAGTAACAATATGATAAAGAATGCTTTTCAACTAATACTTCCGATTTTACACTCAATATTTAATAAATGTATTCAAATAGGATACTTCCCAAAAAAATGGAAAACAGCAGCTCTCAAAATAATAGCCAAACCCGGCAAAACCAATTATGAATCAGCTAAAAGCTACCGTCAGATATCTTTATTATCAAATTTTTCAAAGATTCTAGAAAAAATTCTCAAAAATAAAATATATGAATTTTATATTCAAAACAATCTTTTAAGCTCGAGGCAGCAGGGATTTATCAAGTCTAAGTCAACTATCACTGCTTTGAATACTGTAATCGATGTATTAATGGAGCATAAGCAAAAAGAACTGTCTGCACTAGTTACAATAGATATCTCGGGGGCTTTTGATAATGCCTGGTGGCCAGCGATCATCAAAAGAATAGACTCAGATAATTTACCGGAAAAACTGATCAAAATTCTACAATCATATTTAAATTCCAGGATCATTTCTTCCAGTTACGACAATCTAACAACTTCAAAGCCAATTACTAAGGGGTGTCCTCAGGGCGGTCCGCTTTCTCCACTTCTATGGACAATTTTGTTGAATGATTTGCTGTTGAATTTTCAGGTGCCCAATTGTGAGTTGATTTGTTATGCGGATGATATTTCGATCATATGCTGGAATAAAGATCTAGCATCACTAAAAATAGTTATAGAGGAAGCATTAAATACTATCGAATTGTGGTGTATTAAGAGAACAAGTTAGAAATCAGTTCCGAAAAAACAAACATTTTATATTTGCATAATAAAGAGAAGATCCCAGTTAAATTTAAGAGTGGATTAATTTCACCAGTACAAAAAATAAAAATTTTAGGAATAACAATTGCAAATCATAGAAGAAAAAACAAATTAAATTTTGCTTTTCATATAGAGGAAATAGTGAGCAGAACTCTAAGAATAAAAAAATTTCTATTCTCTCTGTGCAGCAAATCATGGGGTTTGAGCTCCCATAAAAGAATTACATTGTATAAATCTTTATTCAGATCAACTTTAACATATGGATAAGAAATATGGTTCAAATTTTTAAATAAAAAATCGATACAAAAATTAAAATCAGATATTAATATGGAGCATTCAAGCTTACAAGACAACTTCGTACAACTGTGTTCACAGTTTGGCTAAGACTCCATTGATTGCAGATTACATTGAAGCAAAAAATATGAAATATGACTTAAATAACTTATCGTTCTAGGACAAGCAAAAATACAACATCGATATTCCCTTTATAATTAAATCCTATATAGACGAAAGAATGTTGCTCTTACTGAATAATACAAACGAGACATTTACAAGGTTTTTCAACCGGGGTATTCCAAATTATTTTCGCCCTAATTTCCACAACACACAATTTGTAACCAACCATGGTAATTTCGGAAGTTTTCTGGAAAGAATCCGTGCATCGGAGGATCCGGGCTGTTTTTGTGGATGCCGCATTCAAGATTCTACTCACCTTTTACTTAAGTGCCCAGCATTTCAAGACTACAGACTCAATAACGGTATTCTATGTACCGATCCAAGAGAACTGATATCCAGCAGGGATTCATACATTGTATTCAATAGATTTTGTAAATTTATATCAAAGTTTTTAAATAATCTCAAGTGCTAGGTATAATTAACTATGTGCTGTATATATGATTTTCTTTTTTTTTCTTTTTTTCTTTATTTTGAGGTGTGTTTAAATTAAATTACCTATGTATATAGTATGCTTGTTTGAAATCAATTTCAAGAATATGGTAAATGCCTTGAGCATATGTTTTTGGATATATAAATAGATTCTCCCTCTCTCTCTCTCTCTCTTTTATTGCTTTCCTTTGGGCGCCAGTGTCCTTGGCGGGACATCGCGCTTTGTATTTACAGTTGAATAAAGTTGAATGAATCTAGTGAACATTTTTCCCGGTCCCTTGAAAAATACTCGATAAGTTGAATAAAATCAATATTAATTGGTTCCCTAGGTAATTGGAAGTTAAAGGAATAGTATCTTCGCCTTGAATTGTATCATTATTCTTGTCTCAAATAAATTGCCGTGTCATCCTGAGATAATCTTACTTTTGATAAATAATCTTTATGATAATAAACTTAGTGATAATAAAACTTATAGATAAAAAAAACTTGTTATCATCGTCGCCATGGTGGCGCTGCTTGCGAGTTAAATCTACAAATCTGCAAATAACTCTAAGGATATTCAAGATATTCAAGAAATTATTTTTCAAAAACCTTCCCGGGGATATACCTAATAATATCCCAAATTTTCACGGCGATTGGATGTATGGTTTTTGAATCTATAGAGTACACACAGACAGACATTCAATTTTATATATATACTAGCGGATGTGCCCGGCTTCGCCCGGGTTTTAGCCGAGTGAATGTTTGTCTAACGAACATTTGTTAAAACAATTCTCTATAAA